GGTGATAAGGATGAGGAGTAAGGATGAAAGACCCTCGGGCGCCCATTCTGAAATTTTCCCCGATCGGGGCGAAGGATGGGCCATCGAGGCAAGGATGCAGGGGTACCTTTGTGCATCATCCTTAACATCGACGTCGATTGACAGCGGGCAGTGGCGGATTTCCATGAGTGTGGGGGGGGGGGGGGTCAAGGGCGGCCCGGCGCCTTCGGGGTCGATGGCGCCCCCCAGGGGCCCCTGGATATTATAATGGGCGGCGCGGGGTTGCCGAAGGGCACATGGGGGCGCAGGGGAGGGATGGGGGGGGGAGTTGACGCGGCCACAAGAGTTGCATTCTGCATTGGCGCGAGACAGGGGGAATGGGAGGGAGAAGGAGAGGGGGGCAGGGACAAAGGGGGCGGGGGAGGGGGCGAGGCAGGGAGCATGGGAGGGGGCAGGCGAAAGGGGGAGGTGGAACAGGGCGGGGGGAGGGGGAGGGGGAGAGGGGAGGGGGGGGGGAGGGAGGGGGAGGGGGGGGGAGGGGGAGGGGGAGGGGGGAGGGGGGAGGGGGAGGGGGAGGGAGGGGGCGCGGGGGGGAGGGGGAGGCAGAGGGGGGGGGGGTGAAGGTGTGGGAGGGGAGAAGAGCAAGGGGAGGGGGAAGGGATGGGAGAGGTCGAAGGGTGAGTGGGATAGCGGGTCTCATGGATATGTGTACGCGACATTTGATAATGATTCTAGGCTATCTATGCGTGTATCATGTATGCGCATATGATATAATAATGGAACGGTCGCTGATGCTGACACGGTCGCCGACGCTGGCAAGCCTGAACGTTGAGAAGCATGGCGTAGCAAGCTTTGAATGCATCGCATGGCGCAGTAGCATGGCCGACATAGGCGGCAAGAGAAATCGACCCCTCGATACATCCCCGCCGACTTTCAATCGGTTCTCGGGGCACCCGCGACGGCGGAAGTAGACCACAACAGCGCATTGGCCCGAGATCTCTCGAATCCTGATACCACCTGATTTGTTTCTGAGCCTCGGACGCTGCGCGAATTACCCAATCGTGTCTGCGTCATGGCTTCGAGCTCTGCGTTGGTGAGACCTGGCCCTGGAATGAATTCGGGAAGAGCACGGGGCGGCTGGTGCGCCGCGGCAACTCTGCGACGCCAATAGCCAGGATCATCGCAGCGCTCCCTCACAGAAAGGCCGTGAACTCGCCAGTGAACCTTCGAGGTTGGAGCCGCGCGCCACCGACGATGAGGGCCTCTCCACCGCCGCGCCCGTGGCGCAGAGGTGGCGGCATCACCGTCGTTGGCGCGCGATTCCCAAACTCGCCAGGGCCTGGCGGAAGCGCGACGAAACGACCACATCGATCGATTCGCTGGCGCGCCCACGGCCGCCCACTTGCGGCGCGCGTTAGCTAGCACCCGCAGGGGGAATGCCGTGATCCCTGCCTCCTCGGAGGAGCCCCAGACGCGAAGCAGGAAGGAGGATGGGGGGGGAGGGGAAGAGGAAGAGGCGAGAGGAAAGAGCAAAGAGGAGGAGGAGAAGGAGGAGGAGGAGGAGTATCGGGGAAGGGAGCACAGAGAGGAGGGGCGAAGGAACGAGGAGCGGGGGAAAGGCTGAAGGACGAAACAGGGGGATTCCTTCTGCCACGCCCATGCATCGCGGGTGCCAGGGCCATTGAGCCAGGCGGGCCACCGCTGATCCTCGTAAATATCAAGGTCGCTCACGGCCATGGCCCAGGACTCCGGACGTGCCCCCGCCCCGCCGTTGCCGACGCCAAAGAGCTGCTCGGTGGCACGCCGAGGCGCGATCATCCTCGTTCCTCATTCCTCCTCCCTCCGCCCATCCTCCTCCCCTTCCTCCCCCCTCCAATCTAGCTTCGGTTCAAGAAGAACACCCCCCCCCCCCCGCATTCCCCATTGCCTTCCGCCTCATCCTTCTTACCTTGTTCTCCATCCTGCTCGTCTTTGGTAGCAACCCGCCTGCGCTTAGTTGCGAAGTGGCAAGGGCCCCTGCACCGAACTGTCAACCGAAATTGGCCAGGAAGGGACGGCCGCGCCACGACAGTCGCGGCGCGGCGACCCCAGTCGTGACGCCTGGAGTCGCGGCACGACTCCAGGCAAAAAAAAAGCGGCAAGCGCAAAGGGTCAGGCCCGCGGCAACTGAGGAGCAAGGCCCAAGGTGACTCTGAACTGATGTCGGAACTGAGAGGCTCGGATCCAGAGAGGCCCTCGCTCAAACCTACGAGGTCCCCACAGACCGCAGATCAACACTCGCCACGACACGCATCTGAACAGCTCGAGGTCTTTGCCATGCCAGGCTGACCACGGATGTCAAATCTGGCGCGGCGCCGACGCCCAGATGCCACTTGGGAGTCGGATGTGGGTGGTGGCTTCGATGGCGCGAGGACCATCATTGTGGAACTCGAGAGAGAGAGAGAGAGAGAGAGAGAGAGAGAGAGAGAGAGAAAAAAAAAAAAAAAAAAAAAAAAAAAAAAAAAAAAAAAAAAAAAAAAAAAAAAAAAAAAAAAAAAAAAAAAAAAAAAAAGAGAGGGGGCGAAGGCATCTTCTGGGCATCGCCGCTGGCAAAACAAAGCGCCTCCTGGCCGCGAGCAGCGACCTGCCAGAGGTCGCCCAGCCCACGGCATCGCGAAAACTCAACTCCAGACCGAGCGCTTGCTGCGTGCCCTGCGGCAGGCGCCCAATGAAAATGACGGGCACGCACGCCCCTACGGCCCCCCCTGGCCCTTCTTCGTCTGCTGGCCGCCGCTGAGCTTCGACAACTCGCGAGCAAGGTAGTCGGTCAAGTTCTTGGGCAAGCCAGTGTTGGTGGTTTTCCTGATCTGATTATCCAAGATTTCCTTGCGGCTCGCTTTCGGTGCGCTCGGGAGAGTAACCAAGATCACTCGCACCGTCGATGCGACAGAGATGAAGCACCGGCCCTTGCTCAGCAACTTGGCAACAGCCTGGTGGCGATTAATAATATAGAGTGGCCACTGGAGCCCCCGCCCTCCCACCCCCGCACCCCCGCCACTTCTTCAAGCGCTGATAGGGCCCACCGGGCGCGAGCGATGAGCGCGCTTGAAGAAATGGCAAGGGGGCAACGACGCGGAGGCAGGGAGGAGGGAGGCACACCGCGGCGCCCATCTCTTTATTATCATGGCCAACCACGCAAGCACTCTCATGCTTGACCTCAAACTTCTCGTCCTCGCTGAGAACCTGGGACTCCATGGACTTCGCGAGGCTCAACCCCTTGCTGAGAGCGACCCAACTGCTCGCGAAATCGTCCCAAGTCTTGGAAAGTAACTCCTCTTTGCATTTCTCTACATCGAACACGTCGACGCAGTGCGGAGCATAAACGGGGATCTGGTGATCGAGGCTCTCGGACTCCACCTTGAGTACGTTGGCTATCTTCAGGCTGACAGCCTGGAGCAACTCCTTCCCGCACCGCGCGGCCGCGTCGCACTCGATCCGCATCCTCGCGAGGCTAATGTTGGGATCGTCACCGAAGATGGGCCGCGATGCCTCAGCCGAGCACGCCTCCGCCATGCCCTCCGACATCGCGAGCGTCGAGAGGGTGCCCACCAGAGTCGCATGCTTAGTCCAGTGCTGCTGCAAGCCCTCCGGAACACAGAACGGCTTGGCCGTGATGCCGCGCATCTGCGTGGAGAGGACTGCGTGGGACAGTCTGCATCGGAGCAAGGCCCAGCGCAGGCGAAGGCACAGAGCCGAAGAACTCTTTCCCGTGGCAGCGAACAGCGCGGCCACCTCCTCCATCCTCACGTGGTTAGCTCCGACGTCGTCCTTAACGGTCTGCCAGAGAGCATTCAAGCGGTCAACCTGGTCGTCGTCCAGACTCTGGCTGTTCAGAAAGAAAGCGGTAGCGCCCGCAGCGGACGCATCATCTCCTGCTAAATCCTTTGCCAGCGAGCGATGGCGGGGGGAAAAGGGTCAACGGGGCAATCGCGGAGCCCGACGCCGCAACGATCAAGAAGCGCGATCATCTTCACGCACCCTCCAGACTCTGGGCCCACCGCGGAGAGGGACACGTCAGCAAAGAGGAGGGAAGTCACCGAGAAGCTGCTGACCCTGCTCACGCATCAATCCCCATGGAGTTTTATGTAAAAAACGACCTTGCGCATTGCGATGCATCGAACGTGTTCGGAGCGGAAAGGGGCGGATTGTCGCCCGGCGCTCCTTCCAGTAGCTGCTGTCAACGCCGAGGACAACACTGATGTGAGAAAGTTTCGGCGACACGTTGGTCGACGCATGGTCTGAGAGGACGGCCTTGGCACGCGTGCAAACGTCTTTGAAAACCTGAACAGGAACACCCTTGCTGACCAGCAAGGGCTCCGATGATATAAAATGTTTCTCAATTTTCTCAACCATAGCGGCCAGATCTTCCAAGGGGCCAATATCATCGACAGCGTACGTTGGGTCGATGACCTCAAAGTCGGCAGAGGTGACATCGGAGACGAAAGATAACACGAGCTGGTTGGCCGATAAAGCTGACGTCTGGTGCGCGTGATTGCTGGAATCGAAATGCGCTGCCCCTCGCAAAGGGACGAACACCGACTCAACCCTCTCGGAATAAACTTTCTTGCAATCCTCGACCTGATCATCCTGAGGCCCACTGGCGTAGATCCGCAACACGTTCTCCCAGGCGGCGAACGCGGTCTTCATGACGGCCACGACCATCGTCTCGAAGCCCTCCACGTAGGGGGCAGCCTGCCGGCGCATCATCCTTCCCCATTCCTTCAGCCCTCCTTCCTCCTACCTTCCCTCATCCTTCAACTCGTCCCCTCTCCCTGCTCCTCCCCTCCGCTGGGCCCCCCTTCACCCGCTTCGGTCGTATTCCATGCTCCTGTGCTAATCCTCCACTACTCATGCTCACCTCCACTCCACTCCTCCACTCCCCTTCCAGCACCGCTCGACCTCCATCCTCCATCCCCCAGCTCGCGCCCACTCATCTCCACTCCTCCCCCTCCACTCGCCGCCCTTCCGTCAAAACCACTCGGTCAAGCCTTGTCCGCGAACTTGAAGGGCGACAGCTCACTATCCAACTGAATGGCCACGTCGAGAGACGGCTCGCTCTTCAACAGCGCTGACACTCGGTCCATCGCCTTGAGCTTCGCATCGTGCTCGGAGAGGACGGCCCGAGCGTACTTCCTGAGCTTGTCCCCGGCACCAGTCGCAGAGAATATCTTGTGCGTGTCTGACGAGCCACGTTTGATCACGTGCTCGAGGTCGCTGACCGCGTCCAACTGCTTGGGCTGGTCGTACTTGGCAACGTCGAACATCTGCTTGATGACCCTGAGCTCCTTGGTCAGGTCCTCGTGCAGGTGGACGCCCGACGGGAACGACGCGCCTTCCTCGGGAATCGGGGCCAGGAGAGCGCTGACCATCCTCAAATGGTCGATCTTCTGTTTCGGAGCCTTGTCCCCTGAGACCGTGACGACGTCGATCAGAGCGTCGTTCACTCGATCCTGTCGGCGACGGGCGACGGCGCGACCCCGCCTCCTCATTCCCCCGACGCCCCTGTAGCGCATGTGCCGACCTACATCCCAAAATTTCAACAAAAATACCCAGAAGACGCCCTGGAAAGCCCCTGGCGGCGGCGCCTCGCCCTCTTCTCACTGATCACCCCCTCAACCTTCACCCTCTCCTCCTCATCCTGGCTTTCCATGCGTTTCGGTGACGCTACCAGGGGCCCCGAAAGGGAATCAATGTTGCGTTGTATTGATTATCAATACAACGCAACATGTTATATAATTCGCCGAGATCCCGCTGCCATTCGGCAAGCTCTTCCGAAGTAAGAAGGTGCTGGCACGCCGACGACGATATCATTCTGAAGCGCGCCATCATCTCTTCGGCAGCCCCCTCCCTCTGCAAGACCGCTACAACATCTGCGTTAAACTTCATCTCGATGATGGACATCTCAATGCACTCTGGAAAGCCCAACTCCAACTTAGGCGTGTTCGAAGCAATCTCTTCGACATCCTTGAGCTCTGCGAGGAAGTCGGCAGTGGTGGACTTGCGGGCCCATGTTTTGTGCGCTCTCGTGATCTTGCCATGGCAATCCGCTAGCCTGAGCGACTTTGTCACCTCAACCTGAAGAGCCTTCGGCATCACCCTCATCTTGCTCTGCAATGACTCGACCAAGTGCTTGACAACCTTGAAGTGCTTCTTATCTAGCGCCAGCACGGATACTCTCTGCAACGTGCCGAACTCGCGATTGATGGCAGAAAGCTTGTCATGCTGCATCTTGGCGTCGCGCTCAGCGCGGTCACCCGCGACAGCAGGAGCGCCGCCAGAAGCCGCTCGGCGAGCCCCGCCCGTTCCAGCGGTCTTGGTCAGCGGCGGCGGGGCGTTGCCAGGCGCAGCCTTCCCTTTGGCCTTCGCCTTCGCTGACCTCGTCCTCGTCGATCCAGCGCCGTCCGTCGCGGCAGAAGGGCTCCCGCCGATGGCCGAACTGCTGGCTGCGGCCGAACTGCCAGCCCCGCTCGCCTTCCTCTCGTCGCCTCCGTCCAGCATGCCCAACAAATCCCATTCGGCCTCGCCGTCAGTGTCGTCGTCCTCCTCCTCTGCATCGGCCTTCCCCATCTTTTCGCGGGGAGGGTCCTGCTGCTTACCCGCGGCGTCCTGTTTGCCGGGCGCGGGGTCCGCTGGCTTCGGGGCAACAGCCTTGCCCACGATCTTGTTCTGGCCATGGGTGGTCACCATGCCCTTGAAGATCTCCTTCACCTTGCCCTGCTCAACGAGCTCCCCATCGTGCAGCTGCTCGTTGTGCTTCAACGAGTTGACGGTGGCAAACTTGCACTCCATCTCGTCTTCTGGCGTCGTGGGTATCAGAACGACAGCCCTGGTAACAGAAGGCGGGGCGGGCGAACGAACGGATGCCACTGCGAAACGCTGGCCTGAAAGACGCAAAGCAATGTAGCGCGCTCGACGATCTGTCCGCCCGACCCCGAGGCTCGACCCCCTGGCCCCAATGGCCCCTGGCCGCCCCGGGCCCCTGGCCCCGGGACCTCGCGCTGCTCAGCGAGCAGAGCTCTCAAACGCAACAAAAGCAACGCGTGGGCCGCTTACAAAGCGTGCAATTCACAGCGTTTCCGTTTGCCCCCCGCCCAGCCTCTCTGTCCCGTCTTTCCAGATGGTCTTCCCCACGGTATGGTTCAGGCCGTTTGTCTTGGGATCTCCGAGCTCCGCGATATAGGTCTCCAGAAGTTTGTACTTGCCGCGGACCCCTGACTCAAAAGTATTGGCCATTTCCTTCACGATCGATTCGGTCGGCCTCATGACAGTGTGGCTCGTAGCATTGCCTGATTTATAATGCTCGATGAGTGACTTCACGTAGTTGGTGAATTCCAGCATGACGTTGCTGTCGCTAGCTAGATTTGCCTTCAGGGCCGCCATGCTGAGGCCTGGGTGCAACTTGGACTTCGCCCCGCCGCAGTAGGCGCAACACTTCCCCTCGAAGTTCGGTTTGTTCCAGGACCTCGGAAGCAAAACTGCACGGCGAAGGGCTGTAAAGTGTTACTTTCCAAGAGCGCACTCCTCCTCCTCCTCCTCCTCCTCCTCCTCATCCTCCTCCAATTCCAGTCCTTCGTCCCTCCACCTCCTGTTACTCCTCCTCCTCCCTCCTCCTGGTTTTTGGCCTGCCAGGTGAAGGTGCCCTTCAGCTCCGTCCTCTCCCCTCCCTTCGTCGTTCCTCGTCCCTCCCTTCCTCCTTCCTGTAGCTGCTGTCCCCGATTACCCCTTTCTTCCTCCTCCTCGTTCCTGCCTCTGGCCCTAGTCCCCTCTTTCGGCCACGCGTCCCGCTCCATTCCCCCATCCCCCCCCGCCACCCCCCTCCCGCCCCCTCCTCATGTCCTCAGTCTAAGCCTAGACCTCAAGTAGATCAACCCCAGGTGCCAGGGCCACGGCGTGGCCCTGACGGCGTGGATGTGAGGTTTCTGATCCCAGAGAGGCCTTGTCCGATCTGGAAACACGGGATCTGGCGCCCCCTGGCACTCATGGCAGAGGTCGCACTCCTTGGCCATGAGCTTATCGTACATCCCCCCCATGTACTGCTTGGCCTCAGAGAGGAGAACCCCGATGACGCCAATGCCCATGTGCTTGCTCAACCCGCTGCCGTTCCAACCCGACGACATCGCCGCCGCGGCGACGCCGAGCATGCTCACCCCCTTCTTGCAACGCTTGGGCGGTGGCGCCTGGCGATCCGATAACTGACCAAGCTCGTCGCCCGCCCAGCCCGGGCCCCGAAGCTCGCATCTCACCAGAAGAGGCCCGTGGTTTCAATCGAGAGCGGGGTCAACCTGGGGCCTAGATGCCTGGAGGCTTTCCGACGCGAGCCCGAGCTCCAGGCCCTGGCCCAGATTTCGAAGGCAGACGAACAAGACGCGCGAGGCACCTCGGCCTCGGATAACTCCGCCCCGCCCAAATCAACGAGGTCCAAATCTGGGCACTCACTGACGGTGTCCAGGATGTTAGCTTCGACCTCCATGACGCTGGATGGCAGACAGCAGACGGCACTCGGAGAGGGCAGAGAGGGCCGCCGCAGGGCCCGTGCGTACTCGTACTTGTGCCGAAAATGTGGCGCGATGTCGCCGTTCCGCCAGCGTCGTCGCCGTCGCACGGGGTCCTGGGTCCTGGGCGAAGAGGGGACATCGGCTGACAGCGCAGCGGCCGCCAACCAGCTTCTGAAGATACCCGGCCAGAGCTACTTCGTAGAGCACAACCGAGACCGCCTCACGCCGCAGCATCGAACGGCCTGCGCGCCCGATCATGACCTGCGCGCGACATCAAGCGGCCTCAGTCGCGCATCACGAGCTAGCAACGACGCCTGCCTTCGAAAACGAAACCGAATATCGAATCGGTCCAGGGGGGCCGAAGTGGTCCAAGATGAGATTTCTCATTGAGCCGTCAATCGAGCGGGCGACTGCACGTCGGGCGGCGGAGGTCCCCGCAGGGGTCGACGGCGACGGGAGGTGAGGGAGATAGGAGATCTTATGTTTCATGCCACTAGCCCCGGCATGCCCATCCCATCCAGTGCACAAGTCCCGAGAGGGGGCCAGCGCGCACGTGTCTGAATGCAAGAAGGAGCTCTGAAACGAACCGCAAGCAATGCAAGCCGATCTGGCTTCCTCCAGTCGCGGCAGGGGACTGGGGCAGTCGGACTGGGGAGGGGTTCTCGAATGACTGACCTGAGACCTGACCAGCGAACTGGGGGCTGGGAGTGGACGCCTGACGCCTGACATCGTCTCAGACGAACCAGCGAACGCCCCTGCCCAAGACGCCATCGGGTTCAGATCGGGAATCGAGAAACGCCCGAGTCATCAATCACGCGCATTCGTTCTAGCCAGCTGCCAGCCGCTGCCAGCCGCGGGCTCTGACTGCTAATGATGCCAATCTCGAAGTTATTACCCGAAGCTGTTTCATTCTGTCATCCCGAATCCTGAATGTTAGCCGACGCTCATGCGGCCCCGCGGGCCACATCCCAGAAGCCCCCGCAGCTGATCTTGGCATCACTGCCGAGCCTGAAACTAAACCATTTCGATGCCCCATGCCCGCGCGGTCACGACGATGATCCGAGGTGGCCGCCCAGAGGACTTGCACGGACGCTCTGGCTCTTGAATTGCAAGACGAAGCCCTGCCGCTGGAAGCCAAAGTCGCCAAATGAGACAAGCATCACAGCGTAGCCGGGCTCACGGAAGCGTCTTGCTGAGGTACTCCGCAACGATATCGGGCAAGCTGACGCGCTTCGATGCGATGACCTCCATGACCTGCTTCTCGTGATCATCATGGAACTGGTCGTCCTTCATCTTGAACGTCGATAGAGCGGCAATCGTGAAAGCAATCGCAGTGTTTGCATTGAACGCGTTGCCTGCAAGGCAACGCACTTCCTTGCGAGTGAAGCCATGCAGTTCCGCGAAGGTGAACAACGGCAACCCTTGGGCTCGAAGTGCCTCGTTCGGCTGCATGACCCTGAACCTGCGGCGCAACCTCTCGGGGCGAGCCCCCACTTCGCCCACCCCGCATGGGCCCGCGAACTCAGCAGTCGAGCACGGGGCAGCGCAGGGCGCGCGGCGCACTCGATCACAGAGTTCAGTCCGAAAGCCAAGAGGGTGGGCAAATGGAGGTGGAGCGTGGAGACCGCCGACCATGGGAGCGCTTTGGGCGTCAAGCACGGGGCCCCGTTCTCGCACATGGGGATCCTGTTGAGCGACGAGCCGATGTCGATAATCATCTCCTGACCCGAACCTGGCGGGATCCTCCCGTACTTCAGATCAAAGAATAGGACTACCTCGCGACAACGGATGGGTATGTCCCTGAGCCTCGACAGCTCGTCCTGGCTGTAGCGGAGACTCAAGACAGGCGGGTGGCGAAACCCGTTCTGGCGGCACAGCTCCGCATGAAGCTCAGGCCAAGGCGTCTTGGCGGCGGCGCCGCCGCCAATGACAGGAACGCGAATGTCGTCGCCGGCGCCGCGGCCCTCGTCATCAGAGTGGGCGTCGTCCTCCACGCCAAGGTCCTCTGCGTACGGATCCTCGAGCCAGTTCTGAAGATCGGCGTCGTCCTGACAGAAGGCTGCGAAAAAGGGAGGGAAGGCGGGGGCGGGCGAAGGGGGGGAAGGAGGGGGAGAGGAAGAGTTGAAGGATGGCGGGCAAGAGGACGAGTAACAAGGAGGAGAAACCCAAAGCGCCGCCGGGCAATTTACGGCAAATCGGCCGAACCCGACAAAATGCCGTAAAATGTCCGGCCCGCCCGCGGGCCGCACTCAGCTTGGGAGTTTGAGGGATCCCCCCCCTTCAATATCCCCAGGAGGAGGAGGGGGGGGTGGGAGGATGGGGGGGAGGGGGAGGAGGAGGAGGAGGAGGAGGAGGAGGAGGAGGAGGAGGAGGAGGAGGAGGGAGGAAGAGGGAAGAGGTGGGGGAGGGAGGAGGAGGAGGAGGAGGAGGAGGAGGAGGAGGAGGAGGAGGTGGGGGAGGAGGTGGAGGGAGGAATATATGGAAGAGGGCCGCAGCGGTCCTCGGCCATCAGGATGTCCTCCAAACGGCCCTGCTCCATCTCGATGCGCTTCAAGGTGTGCAACATCATCTCCTTCGGGCCGGCCCACCTCTCGATGTCCTCCGGGCCCAGCGCTGTGTCCGAGACCCTGATGGCAGCCGCCCACCATCGCGTTCGCCTCTGCGCCGAACCGCGACAACGCGCATCATACACGGCGTCCACAAGCAGGCAACCCAGATCATGGAGCAAACGCTCGAGGGCAGCAGCATTGCTCACGTTAGTGGACGGGTCGTCGTCAGTGATGGCTGAGACGTTCTCCAGGAAGACAAGTGGCGGCCTCGCCCTCGCTATATACCCCAAGCCACCGCGCAATGACTCGCCAGTCTTGAGGGTCCCACTGCTAACACAAGACTTGGCCTTCGAACTATCGATGTTCAGATGTGAGACACTCTGACAGATAAACCCGAAGTAAACAACATCTGTCATTGGAACCGATCTGCACATGCCCGATACAACCTCCAAAGCTTTCGACCCATGCTGGAACTCAGTCACGTCGGCAAAGAGCAACCTGGGCGCCGGCTTGCACATGGTTCGGATCCACCTGAGACGCGGCAGCGCATCAAACAAACGATCCACGCCCAATGGGCAGAGGGACAGGAGGACGAGGAAAAGGAAAAGCAGGAGAATGGACAGGAGGACGAATTGGAGGAGCAGGAGGAGGAGGAGGAGGAGGAGGCGAGGAAGAGGAGGAGGAGGAGGAGGAGGAGGAGGAGGAGGAGGAGGAGGAGGTTGGAGGAGGGAGGAGGAGGAGGAGG